TTTTGATAACTCGATAAATGAATAAAACTTGAAAAAAAATGTAAACAGAGAAACAGATGATTAAATTAATACTACGAATGATCAATAAACAAAGAAAATGGAAAATAATCAAAACAGAACACATAGAAGACTGGAGAGAGAGAGAGAGAGAGAGAGAGAGAGAGAGAGAGAGAGAGAGAGATAATAACACACGGAGGATGACAGTGGACAGGTTTGAGTAAAAGACGAAAGGGAGAGACAAAGGAAATGCCGAGAAAAGAGTAAATACAAAGGAATGGTGTATAGTGAGAGGGAGAGGAGGGGAGGAAGGGTGTGAAGAACGGACTATGTATACATGACAAGTATATATAAGTGTATTTATGTATGTTTGTTTCTTAACTATACATTTATATATACATACAAAAAATAATGCGTGTGTGTGTGTTTCTCTCTCTCTACAAATACAGTTTTTCTTTCCCTCACACACTCTCCCACGCACCCACACACTCTCCCACACACCCACACACTCTCTCTCTGACACACTCGGATGGTCACGTCAGGTCAGATAAGGTGAGGGGAGGCAGCATTAGGTGTGAGGTCCATCAAGACTGTCTTACCGTCAACAGTCATCACCGGGGCCTGTGTGACGACTGACACACACACACACACACACACACACACATGTATACATACACACATAACATAGGAATCTTTAAATGTTTAGATGTTAAGTTGGCTCTTAATGGTTCAGTAAGTGGTAGTTAATGGTTCAGTAAGTGGTAGTTAATGGTTCAGTAAGTGGTAGTTAATGGCTTAGTAAGTGGTAGTTAATGGTTCAGTAAGTGGTAGTTAAGGGCTCAGTAAGTGGTAGTTAATGGTTCAGTAAGTGGTAGTTAATGGTTCAGTAAGTGGTAGTTAATGGCTCAGTAAGTGGTAGTTAATGGTTCAGTAAGTGGTAGTTAAGGGTTCAGTAAGTGGTAGTTAATGGTTCAGTAAGTGGTAGTTAATGGTTCAGTAAGTGGTAGTTAATGGTTCAGTAAGTGGTAGTTAATGGCTCAGTAAGTGGTAGTTAATGGTTCAGTAAGTGGTAGTTAAGGGCTCAGTAAGTGGTAGTTAAAGGTTATTTTTTGTGTTCGTTTTAAACTTGTTTTGTGTTCCATTACACTTCTACAGATCTTGTGTTGCGTCATGCACACAAGACAAGCATGACGCAACACCATGGCGGGTGATATCAAGGAGAGATAATTGAATTGGTGTAAACAAAATAAAATAAATTGGTGTAAAAATAATAAAATAAATTGGTGTAAAAAATAAAAAAAAATGTAAAAGTTTTTATAAAAGACAGTGAAGCCCTTGGTAATATATCGTCAAAAATCAAAGTATAAAATTATAGAAATTATTAAAAAGTAATAAATAAAATAATACATTAAAATATATCTTTCAAAAAATAAATAAATAGAATAAGTAAATATATAAATACAAAGAATTCAAAAGGAAAACTACAAAAGGAAGGAGGCGGTGCAGGAAAGAGTGTGTGTGAGCTACAACATTACCTGCCTCTTAGTGTTGACATATTGATATTGTTGTTCCTGATCACCGAGATAAACGACTCGCTCTCGCCAGATGGGGAAATAACTAACCTCTCTTGTCTCCCACTTACCCTCACCCACTCTATCTTATGTCTTTATTTCCCCTTTATTTTTCCCTTACACTTATTTCCTTCTCTCACTTCCTCGTAGCTGTGGTGTAGGTAACGGTGAGGAGGGGGGAGGAGGAAGGGGGGTGAAGGGAGAGGGGGGGCAACACTTCAACAGGCCAGTATTATGTGTGGGGAGGGAGGGAGGAATGCCTTGGATGGAAAGTGTTGAATCCGTGAAAACCTCTTGAGTTTGAGGGGCTGGTGGTTGAAAGGGGGGGGTGATAAGTAGTAGTAAAGATAATTGCGGGTGACATTAATTTATATTTTAATAATGAAGTCGATGGCATTGGTCGATGAACAACTTGATTCGACTCCAGCGGCATACTGGGAGGAAGGGGGGGGGCATACCTAGAAGTTGGGTTGCCAGATTGGGCTGTATATTTTCCAACTTGTGTGGGGGAGGAGAGTTCTGGCAAATAATAAAAGTAATCTGTAATGCCTGCTCTCCCTAGTGAACCTTGTTGAGGGGGGGGGGGGCTGATGCTGCATTGTGAACGACTTGTTTTAACATCTCAGAATCTGGTAAGTTTCCCTCGCGCCTTATCTTATTGCTGCCATTTTTCACCACATTCCAAGAAGAAGGTTTCACGCATCAAATTTGGCTCGTCGGGGCATCCTTTCCACCAGCTCTTTTCTCTTTCTTTTTTCTTTACCGTCTTGTGTGATGCTGGGGGAAGACGGGGCGGGGGCGGGGGCGGGGCGGGGAAGGAAGGGGGTACTGTAGTTTATACTCCCCAGTACACTCCCTCGTCTTGATCACGGGTGCTGTCACACTAATTACATTTCCTCATAACGAGTAGCAATTACAGTTGTGTTGCACCACCACCAACTTACTCGTCGGGAAGTTGGGTTGGCGGCGGCGGCGGCGATGGCGGGAGTATTTAATGTTGCGGCAAGTGTTCTTGTGTTCCATGATGTACTTGACCTTGGCATATCTGGCCAAGACCCGGATAACGACATCAGAACGTCCATTCGTCATCCGCTGGTCGCCCTGAGTATCCCAGATCCGCTAACCAAATTTGCCTCCATCCGGCCCGCGCTCTAATCTAATTGCCACTGCTTTTTCTTGCCGTAATTAAGTTGCTTAGTGCTTAACCTCGAAGGCTGATTATATTTCAGCCAAGATATTAGAAGAATTTTGTCATAATTGAGCCATGGCGGGGCTTATGACTGATATAAGGGCTGTGGAAGACTGTGGCTCGGGTAGTTCGGCCATGGCGGTTGTGAGGGCGGGAAGTGGCGGGCGGCGGACACAGCCTCGCGCCGCCATCTTGACTCTTGTGGCGGGAAACCTTTGTTGACGCTTCGTTTGAATTTACCGGAAAACTTCGCCCGCTGGAGTTTAAACGGAAAACATTTAACGAAAATCGTTCAAAATTGAAGTTAACGACATTTAATCGATTAATATGGTGAAAATATTCAGTTGAGATTGGCAGATTTACGAGATGTGGTCGGCCATCTTGGTATGACGTCAGCAGCGTGTTTGCCGACTTGTGAGGGAGAAAAACAGGAGTGTCTTGCTATTGATCCCTGAAGGACGCTACTCCGAGTCACCACTTGACTCACAAGCGATGGCGCCGCCGTATAATACAACTACACTTTATTTTTATATTTTCCTCCTATTGTGTGAACTACTTAACGCGGATGTTGTCACTCGGCGCCAGTGTACGGCTGATGGTGTAAGTAAGTTACTGTACTTATTAAACAATAAACTCCTAACGTTATTATACAGTTTAGTCGTTATTAATTACATTTATTGATAGCTATTAATTATACGCGTAGTGCATCATAACAGTACAATAATCACAACACATATACAACAATTAATTTAGTTATCTTTATATAACACTTGTAATGAAAGATAACAACAGTCATCAATCACAGTACTACACACACACACACACACACACACACACACGTACACACAGTAATCTCTATGTAACGCTATTATCATCATCCAAGGTTTAAATATTGTTTCAAAGTCTGTAGATTGAATTACACTCACATTACACTAGCGAATAAAAAACACACACACACACACAAACATACAAATACTACAGTAATCTCTACATACCACCACTGTTATTTTCTTTAGGGTTCATAAGTTATTAAAAAAATTGGGGTGAATATTAGTTACGGCATTAACACAAGAGACGCGATAGGTTAATACAAAACATCGGTAACCTCTATTGTTATTTTTACCCAGACTATAGTTAATGGTATCTCTAGGTACATATATTAAAATAACACACACACATACAACAATATGATGATTATATATATATATACTTATTAATATAAAGTTAAAATATACCAAAAATATACACATATGTTTACAGTATATAAGGTTGAAAATGCTCCCGAAGTTTGGTAGGACAGACACACGCACTCTTAATACTGACACGCTGAACACACTCACTGACACGCTGAACACACTCTTAATACCCACCAACACACACTCAACACACTCCATAACACTCGCTACACAACATAACACGTATATAGCGAACAAAAATAGAGTAAATAATAGTGTAAATTACATATTCAAATAATAATAATGTAACACAGGAAGGTTGAACAGGTAAAATATACCCACACAAGTTTTAGGTGTAATTGTATCATAATTAGTGTCAGTATCTATCTGTACCATAATTACTGTGTATCTATATAAACTTTTAATATACCAGTGTATATATTTGTGTTATGATAGTTATGTGTGTGTGTATGTGTTATAATTACGTCATTAATACATACATGCATCATAATTACGTCATTAATACATACATGCATCATAATTACGTCATTAATACATACATGCATCATAATTACGTCATTAATACATACTTGCATCATAATTACGTCATTAAATACATACATGCATCATAATTACGTCATTAATACATACTTGCATCATAATTACGTCATTAGTACATAATTCTGTGATAGTGATGATGGTGGTGGTGGTGATAGTGATGATGGTGGTGGTGGTGATAGTGATGATGGTGGTGGTGCATGCTGATGGTGGTAATGATGTAGTCTAAATAACATGCTAGCAGTAATAGTATTTATAGAACAACAAGTGTGTGTTTAATGGCGCATGATGGCTATAATCACTATGCGAGCGTAGCTACTGCAATAAACCACATTAGCCAGAGCCATCTTCCTTTAATTACACACACACACACACACACACACACACACACACACACACACACACACACACCTGTTTTATATTACGCCGTATTTATATTGTGTTTGTGTTATATTAATCTAAACCACGAAAATTAACTTGTGTTTTTTTCTCTTCCCTTTCCTCCCAAAGCTTCCTCGCCGAGCAGTTCCTGGCTACAAGGTATAGTTAATTATCTGTTTAATGTATGTATGTATGTGTATTTGTGTGTATGTATGTATGTATACATGTATATATTCACTATTTATTTACTATATAAACATTTAGTATTTTAAGGGTTCAATAATATAAGAAAATGTAACTAAAATAATTTATTAAAACAAAGACGTGGTTTCGTTTTGGTTTGGTTTAACGAGTCACAAGGGTTTATATAACAAACTATTTCCTCCCATGACGATAAACAATTAAACTAAGCGGGGATAAATAGTTATTAAAAGGTATATTTTAAAGAGAATAAACTTTCACAAAAAAGTAACGCAGGTTTTTGTTATTCATAGTAATACAATATAAATAAAATATGAATAAATTAATGGGTGTATTTTAAACTCAAACAAAATCATAAAAACAAAAACAGAAGTCCGATGAATAAATTATTAAATGGTTATACGGAATAATAATAATAAAACAAAATATATAACGTATATTTAGTATAACGAGTCAGTGACGGCAGCGTAACAATAACAAAACATAATTATTTATTACCATGATAACTCCGCCTCTACACGGACGGACACCGCGATATATCCTGTTCAGCTTGGCGTCAGTACTTCATGACAGACGGGATAAGAAGTGTATAGACTCAAAAAGAATTTCTATTAAAATATTAAATAAAAAACCACGGGAATCAGTTTTTGTTCCTTGTTTTTTAGAATACAGAAAAAATAGTTTAGGCTCGTAGGTGGCCATTACTATAGGATCACCATAACACAGGCTAGAGATAAAGAATGGCTAGCGTGAGCAGGACGGGACAGTAGGGAGGGAGAATTGTTTTAAACTTACTTAATAATCTTCGTTTTGCTACACAAAATAAGCCATTTAAAACAGTATTTGCCTTAATTAATATTTTGCCAGCGGACGGCACAAAAGCAGAGCATTAAACGTGAATGTGTGACTGACAACGATACACTGTCGCCCGCGCTTTATTTATTTTCATTGTGCTCGTGTTTATTTTGCTTGATAAAAAAAAAGGGCGGGAAATATATTCAGGTGCGCTGTGTAATGGTAACGCGTGTGTGTGCGGCCACGCTTACATTAACGCTATTTGTTTTATTAATTATTTTTTTTATTCCGTGTTATGTTTTTAATGAAAAATGAGATATGACACACGTTACTAGAGTAAAAGGGACACTATATATATATATATATATATATATATATATATATATATATACACAGGGAAAAATACGCACACATATACAGGGAGACAGTGCACACACATGCAAGAGGTATACAGTAACATACACCCCATAGAAGCCACCACTAAGTGCAGGTTATTTCTACACAGACTCCCAGTGTACTTCACATCTCCTTCACATACATCACCTTTTTCCTACCATGTATGTATGTATGTATGTATGTATGTATGTATGTATGTGTATTTATGTATGTATGTATGTGTATTTATGTATGTATGTATGTATGTATGTGTGCCCAAATAATGATCAGGAGAATTAAGTAAAATAGTTGATTTAAGTAGAGTTAAGTAATTGATCTCAGTAGAGTTAAGTACAGTACATGTGAGTGTAATATGTGTACTAAAGGTATGTACCCGTGTTACAGCTGGCCTGGGGTACAAGATGTATGGGGCACACGAGGGAGTGTTGTCCGAGAAGAGGAAACAGAGAAGGATCAGGACCACCTTCACCTCCGCCCAGCTGAAGGAGTTAGAGCGAGCCTTCCAGGTGAGTCTACCTGTCTTTACCCCCGTCAGGTGTTCTTCTTCACCTAATCCCTTCCCGTCAGGTGTTCTTCTTCGTCTTGTTCTTCACCTACAGTTACCTTTACCTAATCCCTTCCCCTGTCAGGTATTTAATTCTTTTTCCTATTCATCATCGTCATCATTACACCTGCTTTACATCTATAACCTAATTATCTCATAACACCTTAATTCCCTTTTATAATTTGTATATCTATTCTGTATTATATTGTATAAATACCCCGTGTGTGTGTGTGTGTGTGTGTGTGTGTGTGTGTGTGTGTGTACTACCTCGTCAATAACGTGCCCCTCACTACCCTACAGGAGACCCACTACCCAGACATCTACACCCGGGAGGAGATCGCTATGAAGATTGATCTGACGGAGGCCAGGGTGCAGGTAAGTCACCACCACTCACCTCAATGACTCTATATATTATTACCTGTGTGAAGGAAAGAGTAACTCCAAAAATGCTAAAAAATATCACAAGTTAGACGAATGGGAGTAAAGGAGTAACAATGGTGAGAGGAGGAGAATAACAATGGTGGGAGGGAGGGAGGGAGAGAGGGCGCGATAGCTAAGCTTGACCAATGTGATGATGTACACGTCAGTTGTTGGCGTGGGACCTTCGCTGCCACCAACACTCACGAGGGTCGTCTTAAACACCGAGACATCACCCCTCTCCGTCCCTCTCCCTCTCTCCCCTCTCTCTCTCTCTCTCCCTCTCTTTATGTAGCCACGATAACTGATGACTGTGTGGCGGCCGATATCACCGTCATGACTACTGGAAAATCGTCCCTTTAACAACATTATTCACCGTTACGTTCACATCCCTTCATGGTTGTACATTATCTCTCTGACGTATTATTCATTGATATATTTATTCACGAATGATGAAAAATATCGCCTCTGATCTTATTAATTTTATATATATTGTTTTTTTCGTGTAATAAGGATCGTATTTTATATCTATAATACACTAAGTTATTTACATATTTTTTAATGAATGGTGTATAATCGTTTCCTTTGGCCTCTCATACACTGTATTGGGTCATTTGCTTAAGATAAACAAATAAATATAATCGATCTTTATAGTTCATATTATTAGGGATATTGAATCATCTGGAAATGGGTGGTGGTGAGGAAGGGAGGGTGATGGGTAGTGCGGGTGGTGGTGATGGTGCCAGTGCTGTATACAAGGGTGGTGGTGATGGTGCCAGTGCTGTATACAAGAATAGTGGTGATGGTGCCAGTGCTGTATACAAAGTTGGGTGGTGGTGATTGCCAGTGCTGTATACAAAGGGTGGTGGTGATGGTGCCAGTGCTGTATACAAGGGTGGTGGTGGTGGTGCCAGTGCTGTATACAAGGTTGGTGGTGATGGTGCCAGTGCTGTATACAGGGTGGTGGTGATGGTGCCAGTGCTGTATACAAGGGTGTGGTGGTGGTGGTGCCAGTGCTGTATACAAGGGTGGAGTGATGGTGCCAGTGCTGTATACAAGGGTGGTGGTGGTGGTGCCAGTGCTGTATACAAGGGGTGGTGGTGATGGTGCAGTGCTGTATAGGGTGGTGGTGGTGGTGCCAGATGCTGTATACAAGGGTGGTGGTGATGGTGCCAGTGCTGTATACAAGGGTAGTGGTGGTGAGGTGCCAGTGCTGTATACAAAGGTGGTGGTGGTGGTGCCAGTGCTGTATACAAGGTGGTGGTGATGGTGCCAGTGCTGTATACAAGGGTGGTGGTGATGGTGCCAGTGCTGTATACAAGGGTGGTTGGTGGTGCCAGTGCTGTATACAAGGGTGGTGGTGATGGTGCCAGTGCTGTATACAAGAGGTGGTGGTGGTGGTGCCAGTGCTGTATACAAGGGTGGTGGTGGTGGTGCCAGTGCTGTATACAAGGTGGTGGTGATGGTGCCAGTGCTGAATACAAGGGTGGTGGTGATGGTGCCAGTGCTGTATACAAGGGTGGTGGTGGTGGTGCCAGTGCTGTATACAAGGGTAGTGGTGGTGGTGCCAGTGCTGTATACAAGGGTGGTGGTGGTGGTGCCAGTGCTGTATACAAGGGTGGTGGTGGTGGTGCCAGGTGCTGTATACAAGGGTGGTGGTGGTGGTGCCAGTGCTGTATACAAGGGTGGTGGTGGTGGTCCAGTGCTGTATACAAGGAGGTGGTGGTGGTGCCAGTGCTGTATACAAGAATTGGTGGTGATGGTGCCAGTGCTGTATACAAGGGTGGTGAGTAGTAATTGCCAGGCTGCATACAAGGTTGGTGGTGATGGTGCCAGTGCTGTATACAAGGGTGGTGAATGGTGCCAGTGCTGTATACAAAATGGTGGTGGTGAGGTCCAGTGCTGTATACAAGGGTGGTGGTGTTGCCAGTGCTGCATACAAGGGTGGTGGTGGTGCCAGTGCTGTATACAAGGGTGGTGGTGGTGGTGCCAGTGCTGTATACAGGGGTGGTGGTGATGGTGCCAGTGCTGTATACAAGGTGGTGGTGATGGTGCCAGTGCTGTATACAGGGTGGTGGTGATGGTGCCAGTGCTGTATACAGGGTGGTGGTGAGTGGTGCCAGTGCTGTATACAAGGGGTGTGGTGGTGGTGCCAGTGCTGTATAAGGGTGGTGGTGATGGTGCCAGTGCTGTATACAAGGGTGGTGGTGAGGTGTGGTGCCAGTGCTGTATACAAGGGTGGTGGTGATGGTGCCAGTGCTGTATACAAGGGCGGTGTGATGGTGCCAGTGCTGTATACAAGGGTGGTGGTGATGGTGCCAGTGCTGTATACAAGGGTGGTGGTGATGGTGCCAGTGCTGTATACAAGGGTGGTGGTGATGGTGCCAGTGCTGTATACAGAGGTGGTGGTGATGGTGCCAGTGCTGTATCAAGGGTGGTGGTGATGGTGCCAGTGCTGTATACAAGGGTGGTGGTGATGGTGCCAGTGCTGTATACAAGGGTGGTGGTGGTGGTGCCAGTGCTGTATACAAGGGTGGTGGTGATGGTGCCAGTGCTGTATACAAGGGTGGTGGTGATGGTGCCAGTGCTGTATACAAGGGTGGTGGTGATGGTGCCAGTGCTGTATACAGGGTGGTGGTGATGGTGCCAGTGCTGTATACAAGGGTGGTGGTGATGGTGCCAGTGCTGTATACAAAATTGGTGGTGATGGTGCCAGTGCTGTATACAAGGGTGGTGGTGATGGTGCCAGTGCTGTATACAAGGGTGGTGTGATGGTGCCAGTGCTGTATACAAGGTGATGGTGCCAGTATATAGGCAGAAGTGATAGTATAGTGTCGATCATCTGGTTATACATAGTTAGTGGTGATAAGTATACATGTTATCGTTCAACCAGAGTATACATTTGTATTTGTATTACCGTGGCTGCAATACTCGGACTCACTTCAGGGATAAAACAGGTAGAAATGATTTGTTTTTTAGGAGGGGGGTTAGTGGGGGGGGGCCCATAAAAGACCCATTAGTGAAATCACGTTGTCAATTACTGAGTGCTTTCTTGGGAATAGTGCTGCCCCCCAGGCTCTCCACACACACACACACATTACAATTATCGTGTTGGTTTGGTGAGCTTATTGAAGTAGGGGGTGGATGGGGAGGTTGTGTGCGTGTGTGGGGAGATGGAGGAAAGGAGGAGGATGAGTGGGGATTAGGAGGGGGAGGATAAGGTATGTGTAGGATTAAGGTGAGTTAGGGATTAGCTGATAGAACCCACACACACACACACACACACACACACACACACACACACACACAGTGGCAGGGAGTGAAGGCCAGATGACCAACATAAACATTAGGCCACATTGTTGTCCCAAACGTTATGACCTACCAGGGTGGCCCAGCTGTCAGGTCACCTTAGGTCAACTGGGTAACACTGACGCCACCTGTTGCCCGGGGCCGTAGTCACTAAGGATCGTATCGTGAACATTACTCGTATGTGAAAATTGACCTTTCCTCCTCTTCCTTCTTTGCTTCCTCCTTCCTTTCCTCCTCCTCCTCCTCCTTTCTCCTCCTTCACCTCCTGGACCTAGTGGCTGGCGCGCGGCTCCATCATACCAGTGACTTGATAAATGACACAGATAATGGCGTGATCAGCGGCGGAGGGAAACGAAATAAAATTAGTACTCAAAGAGGACAATCATCCACCATTTCCGCCGCTTGCCACGTGCCACCCCCCCCCCAGCCCTCTCCCCCTGCCACGTGCCACGTGCCACCCCCTCCGCCCCAGCCTCCTTTCCCCGTCCCCCTGACACGTGGCGCGCGTGCACAGTTGGCACCGTGGCACGCTCTCTTAACCCCTTACAATGACTCTCTTTGTCCTCTAACACAACAAACTAACTACTTAAAAGGCTTCAATTGGTGTGTATTTAGTGATTAATTCTCAGGTCACACCCGCGGCTCCTGTGTGTGTGTGTGTGTGTCTGTGTGTGTGTGTGTGTGTGTGTGTGTGTGTGTGTGTGTGTGTGTGTGTGTGTGTGTGTCTGTGTGTGTGTGTGTGTGTGTGTGTCTGTGTGTGTGTGTGTGTGTGTGTAAGCAGACATCCATAGTTAAGTTAATCTCTTATTACAATATAAATTTAAACCTTCTTTTAGATACTTTTTTTAATAATTCATATTTGCATCGTAAGTAAAGTGTATTAAGTAATTTTTAAGTGTATCAAGTAAGTTAAGTGCATCAGGTAGCTAGAAGTGTGATGGTCACACTTAACGGGATATAACAAGGCTTGAGCTACCAGGAATGTTTTTGTGTTTCGTCGCTGCAGTCACTTAGGTTCAGAGTTGTTTTATAGAGCAGGTTACCACGATCCTCTGAGAAGCCTTGGGGGAGGGAGGAGGAAAGGTAGAATGAAAAGGGGAGGTAGAGAGAGAGTGTGAGGAACTAGAAAGGGAAGAGGAGAGGAAGGGGAGTAGAGAGGGAGGAGGGTAAGAGGGGATGACAAGTCGTATAACAGCAGGGGGCCAACCCTGGGACAAAGCCACACACACACACACACACACACACACACACACACACACACACACACACACACACACACACACACACACACACGACAAGGAAACTATCATTCGCCGCCACTTTACGCCGTACCACTAATCCATCCTTCATGTCCGCCTGTGTGTATGTTGTCACCAGCCCCAGGTGTTCATATACAACACAGAGTTAGCGGCATCGTATGCATACCAACACAGAGTTCGGGGCATCGTATGCATACCAACACAGAGTTCAGGGCATCGTATGCATACCCACAGTTCGGGGCATCGTATGCACCAACACAGAGTTCATGCATACCAACACAGGTTCGGGGCATCGTATGCATACCAACACAGAGTTCGGGCATCGTATGCATACCAACACAGAGTTAGCGGCATCGTATGCATACCAACACAGAGTTCGGGGCATCGTAT